CATCCTTCTGGGAGACGTGGCACAGCGAGAGCCGGGCTGCAGGCCGGGGGGGGAGCCAGGGGTCCTGCTCGCCCCGCTCCTCCGCCTCTCAGCACCTTCCACCTCGCTCGTCCTGGCCCCGGCGCCTTGTCCTTGTGCTCAGCAGTTGGTGCTCGAGGTGGTAACTGTCGCGGAGGATGGCAAAGTAACCCTCCCCCAGCATTTCTGGGGCAAACATCCTCTCAGGCCCCCGCTGTTTCACGGGCTTTTCAAAGAGCATTTGGTGGGTTTTGTTCTTTTTGCAAGTTACTTTGTGAACCTCGTTCTCACCTCGGTGCTGTCTTATGTGCTTAAATTTTCCAAATTTATGATCTGTTTTCCTTACTCTATGTGCATCTTCCACTTTTGAAGAGTGCCTTTTAAGCTTCTACTGAGTGGAAGGAAATGGAGTCCATAACCACAGCAACTGTTTTTTTTTTTGGTGTGTGGGTTTTTAGTTTTTTTTTGTGTATGGTGTTTTTTTTAGTAACTTGTGAAAAGTGGTGTGCAGGGTGCTGTGCTGTCTTTAAATAGTGTCCACACCCCTGCATGCAAACATTTATCTGTTTCACTTTCTTTGTTTCTCCGTCACAGGCTTCCTCCTGCTAGTGCAGTTCCGCATTTTGAATTAAAACACTGTTGGGAGGGAGAGAGATTGTGCTGATTGTAGGGTTTTGTTTATAACTTGTTCCTGCAAGAACGTTCAAAGTAAGCACAGGATAAAATGGCACGTTAAACCAAGGTCCAACCAAATCCACCTCCCAAAGACTTGTGGCCCAATGATGGGAGCTATTGTAAATTCAAAACTTTTCCATCAATAACGTGCTGAAAATCACTAATGCTTGGATATGCTTAAGGATAATGTTATTTTAAGTTAAGAAAAAAATAAATCACATGCAAAACACAAGAAGGTATTCAAAACATCTTGAAGCCCATATTGATGAATAAATATTCTCATGAGGGTTTCTTGATGAAAATCTTTCTTATTCCTGCACATTCTAGTTTTCCTAATGATCAGGTTAAGGTTTTGGTCTCTGCAGTGGAAAGAACAAGCAGAGACTTTTAAGAATATAGTCTTAGCTTATTTTTTTTTCCTTTTTGAGTTGTCACTACAGGTTGTATTCTTTGAGTATAGTAAGTAAAATATTTTTCAAATAAAAATAATAATCTTGGTCTAAGAGTTAGATCTCAGCTATCAAACTCTGATGACGTTCTTAATGTTTTCCTTTCCTATGCCTGGCTACAAAGCAGCAAGAACAAACTGAACAACTTTGCAACAGGAAGGAAGGTGATGAGGTGAAGCTTTCACTGGAAGTGCACCAGTATCTCTGGGGTGGTACCTGCTGCTCCAGACTGCTTCAACAATCGCATCTGGGGATTTAAACACAGTACAATGATTGCATTTTGTTTGTGATGCTGGGTAAACGGAAATTGTTAATTGTAAGTTTAATGAAAAGCTTACAGTATTCTATCAGGTCTCCTTGGGGTTGTTTAGGGTAAATGATTGTGTCTTATTTGAAGGTGTACGTGGCCTGTCAGTCGATGCTTATTGTGCTTGTGGGAGCTGTGCCCGACTATCGTATAGACCAAGAAGGAATTCTGGTGAGCAGAGCTGACCTTGCCAAGCATATCCGTTTTGCAGACAACTTCACATCTATAGTAACCGAGGCAAGTACTTCGGTCGTGCCTACCTGTTTCTTCTCTTCTTGGGATTTATGCCACTAGCGCAGGACATGGCACTCATAAAAGCTGAGCAGGGCTTAGTGTAATGTTTTGCTTATGCTATTAAAAGTTACTGGAACCCACCCATTTGGCTTTTTATTTTACTATTTTTTTTTAAACCTGAAAGTATATGATTAAATTATTAGTTTAGCTTTTCTAGTGTAAACTTAATATTTATTAGTTTAAGTTCAACTTTATTTATTTTGTTTTCAGTTTTCTTTACCTTCAGATATTTTAGAAAGTCATTAATCATGAAGAATGAACAAATGCTCATGTAACTCTGGAATTTAGGATACACTCCTAATATCTGTCTTCCACGAAGAGAAGGTTCAATTTGTTGTGTCTGCACAATCTGCTGTGCACATCAGCTTTACTATGAGTTGCATTAGTTTCTCACAGAAGAGAAAGATTATAACTAGTATGAAAACATCACTGATGCACCGCACATCTGGGTATTTTCACACGTGGTGAGAGCGGGAGATAGAACAGATTGATGTTTGCTGAGAGGGTCAGAAGCCTGATCCTTCGTCCTCATGCCTTGTGGATTCCATGCAAAAGGCTGCATTTGTTTTTTGCTGGTCCCTGGGCTACAATCACTCAGGCAAGTGCCAGTGACCTAAGCATTGCTGCCAGTGCCAGAAACAAGCCTGTGTGGGTGGCTTGGCTTGTAGTGTGAACTGTCAGAGCCCTGCTGATTGGAATTCTTGGAGCAGTTGTCAGTAAACTCGTATAAGACAGGTTAGCACTTGGTGTAGCTGGTGCCAGATTTTTGCTTCCCATTATCCCAAATGTGACTGTGTAATGTTTCTCTTGGAGAAAAGTAGTGACTAGACATAAGAAGGAATGATGCAATATTGGATCATATCCTTTGTCAGAAACAGATTTTTTTGATTAGTCTGTTTTCCAAGATCACTCTTTGGTTTCAGGCTCTCAGCAGGATGTGTGATATGGGGTAGTGCTTAATTTATAATCCAAAATCAGCAAATTTTAACTAATACTGTGTTTATAAATGCAGAAGTCAGTGTCTCTATTTCCATAATATTTAGTAATTCTCAAGACTCATCAAAACAAATTTATGTTTCCATTCATTTCAGTACCTTTATTATGAGATTAAAAAAAATATGTTTTTAAGAGTCTTTTCATGGAGTCTTTAGATGCTGGCCAATGTTTTGCTGTATGCTTGCGGACTAGTAACTAAATCACACTGCCATGTGGTTTTAAAGAGCTGAGAGGATGTCTGTTTTAGTGATAAAAAAGTTGGCAACGTTTTTGTTGGCAAGCTACAGCTAATCTTGACAAATATTTAACAAGTTCCTTTTGTGCAAATGATGTAGATAAACACATTCTTTTAAAAGTTATGTTCTTCCCAGGTTATTAGATCAGACTTGTTAAAATACGAGCATCTTCCAGTGACACACTAAGCAGCACAAGTAACAGTTTGCAAAAGTAATCTTTTCTCTTGTTCTGTCCTGGGAGAGGAAGCTGCTTTCGTGAAGTTTTCAATTGTTTTGTTGATGGAGCTTAAACTGAAAAGACTTTTCAGTTCTGGCCTAGTTTGGCAGGGGCACTGTTCTGCTCTGGAGCTCAACAAAACTTCAGAGCAGCTCTGCAGTTCTGCTTCAAGAACTAATAATTGTAATTTAATTTGGCATAACAAAGACTTCATAAGTAATAGCTCAGGCTTGGCTCATGGAGAATACAGTTGTTAGAATTGCTTCTTGGTCTGGCATCAACTCAGTCCTCTGTTTTATTTAACAACCAATGATGCTTAGGAAGGTGAGTTCAGGCATGTCTTACATTTGGTGTAGAAACAGTCCTTTACCTTTGAGATGTTGATTTTTACAGCCATATCCAGGAGCATAAAGTTGTTTGTTTCTTGTATCAGCCTGAAACGCAGTGCAGACAAGAACTGGGAATTTGAAGTCTCTATGCTGTGGAGTGCTTATGCCAGCAGTGCTCTGTACCTTGGAGAGCACATGCTGTGATATTTTTATACTTGAAGTTTCCTGAGGATTCGTGCCCAGGAATATTTCATTGTTGAAGTCTCCTCAGAAAGTTAAGAAACTATAAGTTTTGGGGCTACATCTTTATGTAGTGTAACAGGGTAGAATCTACTACCCACTACAGTACAGTAGAAACCAATCGCAACTGCTGCTGCACAGGGGTTTTACCTTCCCAGAGTATCCAAAAGTCCCCCAAAGCTCTGAAGTGCTGGAACACTGGGTGCATTGGACTAAAGAAGCCGTCCTCTGAACATGTTAAATCTTGTCCTGCTCCTGCAACCTGTGTCTAGCAGGCTGCTGGATACATAGAGCACGGGTAACTGGTGGGTTATGGGATGGATGGAGTCTTGCTTGCTCTGTACTTTGCCACTATGTGAGTTCAGATTGAGTAAAAGCATATGTTTCTTGAGATTACTGTAATTAAAAATTTCAGGAAATTCCTAATATTATTTGGGAATCTGTATTAATTCAAGGCAAATACGTCGGGGCTCAAGTCCTAGTATGCTGTATTGGATTTTGGTCATGGGGCTCTTCCATTAGGTGCTTTTTTTAAAAAAACAAAAAACAAATCAAAACCACCTGCTTTAAAAAAGCAAATAGGATTATGATCCTCCTTTCTTTCCCCAAAAGACATACTGCACGTGTCATTTTCTTCCATTAGGTGCTTTTTTTTTTAAAAAAAAAAAACCCAACCAAAACCAGCTGCTTTAAAAAAGCAAATAGGATTACGATCCTCCTTCCTTTCCCCAAAAGACATACTGCACGTGTCATTTAAAAAGTCAGCATGACACTTATCCAGGTTGTGAGAGTAAATTTTTGAGTAAATACACTGGGAATTATTTGAAATACTCAAATAACAAAGAAATATTTATTTGGCTAAAGCTTTGCATTGAATTAGTTAAATTATTTTCCTGGAAGATCACTTAGGGTTTTCTAATGGCCGTTCTTTGCCAAGCTCATGATGTCAGCGATGTTTGTAATCTCGTAGTGTGTTTCTGTGTGAATTCTCCTTGTTGGTACTGGGGGCCTGCACAAGCTGTCTCTGTGCCTTGCCCAGTCAGGACACAGTATAGGTTTGTTTCTGATTTCAACCAGCTATCAGTTCATTTTCTTATCTTCTGACAATTTTTGATTATGCTGCTTCAGTTTAGCTTTTGGGTGATGTAGAAAGTACATTTTTAGAAATAAACCCATCGTTTGCTTCTAAATTCTGTTTGATTATAAATGCATGTACACTTAAGATACTAAACTACTGATGAGTAGTTAATGAGTAGGTCTTAGAGGTTTTTATAAAAGGAGGACCCCTTTCCATAATCCCTTCCTGCTTCTCCTCAACAACTCAATGTGTGTACAAGGAGGAAGGGCACCAGGGATCACTCGTGGTTGAGGAAGCGTAGCTGCACAGTGTTAACTCTGTATGTACTGCAAAAGTCAACGTGCTTTAGTCTTACTAATGGATGATTTTTGTTACCTGTTCATTGAAATAGCTAAGCTTGTTCGATGTTGAAATGGCTAAGGTGTTAACAATTCAGACTTTCCTTGTTTTAATAACTTCATAAGTTGCCTTGTCAAAGCTTGTGAATTGGAGTGCAATTAATTATACTTCTCAAGTTGAAAGCTTATATGTTATAATGAAATTTCTTGGGGGAGAGAAAGTGGAGATGTGAGAGTCTGTTAGGAAAAAACTAGGACTACTGTTGGCTTACCCATCAAACTTTGAACGAAACTTTAATTGGATTATAAAGCAAGAAGTGGAAAAGGGCGAGAGAATAATTTTGATAGATTTTTATTATCTTTGAGGAAGGTAGCAACCTGGTGTTAATATTTCTAACAATAAGGAGATTCTTTTTTTGACAGTGGTGCCTAGTCGAACAAGAGGCCTACAAAGTGAGCCTTGCATCATCCCTATTTTTTGCTGGATTGCTTATTGGAAATATCACGTTTGGCCCGTTGTCAGATAAACTGGGCAGGAAACCAATGTATATCTCGGGTAAGATTGTTGAAAGGTTTTTCTTAAGCATTCTGTATGGGTAACAACATCTCTTTCACTTCTGGCCGTGGGCCACCCTGCTGTGTCAAAGTTACGGAGTCAGTGGTGCGTGTAAGCCTTTCACTCAGAGTGGAGCAGCTCTAGGATTCTTAGTATGGGTGTACTGGGCAGCATAGTGGTCACTGGAATATCAATGGGAGATGAAAAATAACCTGGTTTTGCTATGACTATCGCTATTTGAGGACAGTGTTCCACACATTTGCCTTACCATATTTTCTCCAATAAAAATAATTTGCTTTTTTGGAAGAGAGGGGCTGAGGGAGCCTAAAAATCTGTTGAATGGGTAACTCGTGTCCTGGTGTTTTGTTTTCCAACTGCGTTTGCAACCACAGGGTCTTTTGGTTTAGTGATAACATTATCTCGAGGAAACATAACCTTTGGCATTGCAGACCTCAAGTGGGTGACTTGAAGATGATTGTAATTTTCGTATGGTGTGACCTCGGAAAGCCAAATGTGAGAGATTAGAGACAAGAGTACTATAGGCTACTCCTTGCAGTCAGTAACTGACTGTGCTCCCTGCCTTTCTTCTGAGTTCAAGCTGCATAGCATTGAATTACTAATTACATTTTATTCTTTCTCTGCAGGTCTATTTTTTGATGTCATCTTTGGATATGTCACAGCATTAGCTCCAAATTATGACATATTTGCAGTGTCACGGTTTTTCGCTGGAATTGTGAATGGTGGAATGGCTCTTGTGTCTTTTGTCCTAACCCAAGAATATGTAGGAAAATCATTTTGGTCATTTACAGGTGGGATTTGGGAATATTTAATCATTATTACTATGCCACATACTGTTCTGACTATCAATACCTTACGTTTTATATTCTTACATTTGTACCAAGTAAAGTCAGTTTGTAACATAAGTCAAATAAATGTGATATGATTTATTCAAGTTCTAACTTGTGTAGAAAAGATGCCTGAATAAGGAAGATGGGATTGAGTTTGATAAACAGGAAAACAGAGGTTTTAAAATGGGTACATTAGTTCCCGAAACGTCCCAATTTGTGCACTGTATTACATTTTAAAAACCAAAAGTATATTTTGGCAGATCCTGCCAACTTCGGAACAATGCTTTATGGTATCTTGGGAAGGTGTTCTTGAAAGTGTTCTTTGAAGTTTCCCTGTACCACAAAGTGGCTTAGTGCCTGGATACTGTTTTTTCCACTGCTGAACGTGTTGACCATCCAGTATTTTTAAGTGTCCTGTTTGGTATGTCACTGCCAAGACTTAAGACGAATTTACTGCCTGCACATCAATCTGTTGTAAAGCTGGAGTAGCTCAGACTTTAACAGCCTTTTGCCTAGTGTAACATGGGTAAAATCCTGATCCAAATGCTGATTTGCTGTGGCTGGAGCATGTTTCTCTCTTGTTTCTTCAGTTATCTCATTTTACTGTTTTTCTTGTTTCTTCTCTGGACACCTGGGGATGTATGAGACAGTTGTTCTGTAGTTAAAGCTTTCCCTTTTTTTTTTTCAATACTGAATTTTCTTCTTCTCTTGGGTTCACTTTTTTGACTCACGCCCTCTCTCTTCCCCACCCCTCCTTCCCCTTGCTGTGTTGCCTATCTCTGCTCTTCCCAGCCTTTCTCCCTGCAGGGCCAGCCTCCCAATGGACCGAAGAGACAGCCCGTTTCCTGCTGCCTGTCGCTTCTAGGTGCTTTATTCTATTTTCTGCTCAGCTGTTGATAAAGAGGTGCAGAACAACCGATCAGGGGCTGAAGGAAGGCGAAGGGAGCTGCTGGACGCAACTCAGCAGTGTTAAAGAAGCTCTCCTAGGTGTTGTCTGGGAGCTAGGCTGTGTGGGCAATAGCTGAGAGTTTCTGGGTCAGTACAATATCTCCTGTGTTAGTCTGTAGAGAATTTGTTAGGCTTTTGGAGTTCAAGTTGACCCCATATTTTTAAGACTTTTATTTATGCTTGCGCATCGGAAGTCTGCTGTAATATACCTCTGGCTTGCAGCTGTTTTTATACTGAGCTCAGTCCTTGTATTTTTATGGCTTCCTTCCAGCTTCTGTTCCAGCCTGCCACCTCTATTCAAGATTACCTTAATAGACCTAAATAAATCATTCTTAGCACTTCCCCTTCCTGTCCTCAGGTTTTCTTTTTAGTCTGTAGGTTCCTGTTCACTTCTTGCTCTCTCCTATGA